ATGACCATTAGACCAATAGAGACCATTCTTCCAAAATGTACAACGTCGCTTTAACTTGTCATCTTCTTGAGGTAGAGCCATTTTGTAAGCAAGACGTAATGAGAGGACATGGAAGTATCGAGGAGGAAAGAAATGATGTTTACTATTACACTGTAGACACCAACCGAACTGGTACACTTCACTAGTCATCTCATCAGGTCTATCAGTAGACAAAAGACATGGAAAGTGTAACAATCTTTCTCCTCTTCTTTCTCTCCCTCCCTCCTCCTCCTCTCCCACTCCTAACTGATGGAGGTTTGTCATTCTTAGGAAAGATGGATTAATTTCTTCACAAAGTTCCATGTTCTTTAGAAAACGAATCAACATGTCAGAATCATATTTAGGGAAGAGCCTAGTCAGACCAGACACACTAACAATACCAGTATTGCTAGCAATGTCAACGTGTTCTTTGAATGTCTCTGGAGCAAAGAGAGTCCCATCCACCTCAGTTAGTAGTATACCCTTATTCACAACAACCCATACCTTGTCTTCACTTTTAAGAACACTCATCAAACCAATTGAGTGCAACGAATGAAGAACATCCAAGACATCTTCTCTCTTATCTGGTATAAAGTAATCATCATTGTCCTTACCAGCAGACATGACATCAGAGAGGGTCAGTATATTCTCTTTCCTTTCCTCAAGTAGACCATACATCATGTGACAATAAAGACTCAAATTTCTTCCACTTGTACTACGAATGGACTCACAGGCACTACACAACTTATTAAAGAAGGAATCCACACCACTCCCACCAAGCTTACGACAATCTAAGAACACACTGTCACACTTTTCCCTTTCAATAACCTCCTGTATTTCTTCCTTTCTCCTTCTCCTTTCAAAAGGATTAGTGAATATCTCATCCACATGACTGACTATTACAATAACATGGCATTGATTAAGAGCTTTCTGTGCTTCATTTCTCACAACTGTTAGCCACTGATGAAGCTGTTTGACTGCTTCCTTCTCCAATATATTCACTACTATCAGGAACACACCACCAGAACCTTGTAAGAGATTCTCAATGACAGCACTGTGACTGGAGTAGTATTCCGAATGACCAGCAAAATCATGAAGAATGATGTTACCCAGTGTCCTGTGTTGTAGTTTATAAGGAATGATGCCAGCAGTACAGGCCACTACCCCTCCAACATTTCTAAAGGAACCAAGAACAATAGAACTAATAGCTGTGTCCTTGATGACGTGACTAAGAGTACTTTTACCAGCTCCAGGATTACCCACAAGGAGGACATTAAATAAGAATCAATTGGATGAGATGATTTTATGCCACCAAACTTCTTAAAGACTACAGAAAGAGTATCAGTGTGACCTCTCTCCTTAGCTAGTTTAAATGGTGTTCTCCCCAGATTGTCTTTAGCCAATGGATCACATTTACATTTGCAGAAAGTATGTTTAGCTGATTATCTCTATAGTTGTTGGTTCAAAATTAGTACTCTTATTTTTCATAACAAGTAATTGTGCATAGCTACCTGCTGATACTAGACAACAATCAGAACTGCATTGGTAGCATACTCAAAAAAATTATTTATCATTATGCAACTCCTGTATTGCTTAATCTTTCATCCCTGGATCAAGTGAAAGGGCCTGCCTCATGAACTGCTTCATATTGCATGGCTCCGCTGCATAGTAGTAGCAAATGGTTATATTAAAATATTTTTGACAATTAAAAATCAAAAAATTAATAACATACAACAATACAACAACATTTGGTCATGCAAATACAGTCCTGTGCTCTTGATACTAGCTTGATACTTGAATTATAGACTAGAATCATACAAAGAAACATAAAATGGGAAAATATATATATGACCTTACTTGAATGAAACACTTGATGGCATAAATCTTAAACTTGACAGAGACAGAGACACTAAAGAGATAGAGAAGAAGAAAGGGCAGAGAGAGGGAGGTGCACAGCAGTGACTTGTAATGGTAAATCAAATTAAACAGCAATGGTAACTGTAATGCTTTTCTGTGCGTA